TTGAAATGCTTCTTACGAAGCCACTCCTTTGTTGCCCGGGCGGTGTGTTTGGGATCATTGTCATGCTGAAAGACCCAGCCACGTTTCATCTTCAATGCCCTTACTGATGGAAGGAGGTTTTCACTCAAAATCTCACGATAGATGGCCCCATTCATTCTTTCCTTTACACGGATCAGTCGTCCTGGTCCCTTTGCAGAAAAACAGCCCCAAAGCATGATGTTTCCACCCCCATGCTTCATAGTAGGTATGGTGTTCTTTGGATGCAACTCAGCATTCTTTGTCCTTCAAACACGACGAGTTGAGTTTTTACCAAAAAGTTATATTTTGGTTTCATCTGACCATATGACATTCTCCCAATCCTCTTCTGGATCATCCAAATGCACTCTAGCAAATTTCAGACGGGCCTGGACATGTACTGTCTTAAGCAGGGGGACACGTCTAGCACTGCAGGATTTGAGTCCCTGGCGGCGTAGTGTGTTACTGATGGTAGGCTTTGTTACTTTGGTCCCAGCTCTCTGCAGGTCATTCACTAGGTCCCCCCGTGTGGTTCTGGGATTTTTGCTCACCGTTCTTGTGATCATTTTGACCCCACGGGGTGAGATCTTGAGTGGAGCCCCAGATCGAGGGAGATTATCAGTGGTCTTGTATGTCTTCCATTTCCTACTAATTGCTCCCACAGTTGATTTCTTCAAACCAAGATGCTTACCTATTGCAGATTCAGTCTTCCCAGCCTGGTGCAGATCTACTATTTTGTTTCTGGTGTCCTTTGACAGCTCTTTGGTCTTGGCCATAGTGGAGTTTGGAGTGTGACTGCTTGAGGTTGTGGACAGGTGTCTTTTATACTGATAACAAGTTCAAACAGGTGCCATTAATACAGGTAACGAGTGGAGGACAGAGGAGCCTCTTAAATAAGAAGTTACAGGTCTGTGAGAGCTAGAAATCTTGCTTGTTTGTAGGTGACCAAATACTTATTTTCCACCATAATTTGCAAATAAATTCATAAAAAATCCTACAATGTGATTTTCTGGATTTTTTTTCCTCAATTTGTCTGTCATAGTTGACGTGCACCTATGATGAAAATTACAGGCCTCTCTCATCTTTTTAAGTGGGAGAACTTGCACAATTGGTGGCTGACTAAATACTTTTTTTCCCCACTGTACTGGACATAATAAACCATTAGAGAGATGAGCTACTCTTCAGAGTGAAGAGAAATGCTTTCAACTTGAGAGTGTAAGGTCATCCCAATTCCTCAAATGTGAAATATTAGAGTGTGTTATCCATATCTGTTCTCAGGCAGCTACCGCGGTGAGGTGAAAAGACTGGTAATAATTACAGGTTTTGTGAGTTACTCACAGGCGTAATGAAAAAATCTCTCTCTGGGATATCATAGGATAAACAGTTAGCCATTAGCCGAGCGAGAGGAACGAGGGGGAGCTCAAAGTGCATCCAATCCGTTACCTAAGATGACATTTATCCTGCCGTGCTGCTGTCAGTCAGTCAGTCGGTGGAAGAAAACCTCAGTGCCAGTAAAACGCTTGATGTCAAGAGACGCAGTACAGATGTGCTGCTAAAGCTTTCTGTTTTCTCAAATTTTAAAAGATAAATACTGTGGCTTGCGAAAGTATTCACCCCCCTTGGCATTTTTCCTATTTTGTTGCCTTACAACCTGGAATTAAAATTACTTTTTTGGGGGTTCCTATCATTTGATTTACACAACATGCCTACCACTTTGAAGATACAAATGATTTATTATTGTGAAACAAACAAGAAATAAGACAAAAAAACAGAAAACTTGAGTGTGCATAACTATTCACCCCCCCCAAAGTCAATACTCTGTAGAGCCACCTTTTGCAGCAATTACAGCTGCAAGTCTCTTGGGGTATGTCTCTATAAGCTTGGCACATCTAGCCACTGGGATTTTTGCCCATTCTTCAAGGCAAAACTGCTCCAGCTCCTTCAAGTTGGATGGGTTCCGCTGGTGTACAGCAATCTTTAAGCCATACCACAGATTCTCAATTGGATTGAGGTCTGGGCTTTGACTAGGCCATTCCAAGACATTTTAATGTTTCCCCTTAAACCACTCAAGTGTTGCTTTAGAAGTATGGTAAGGGTCATTGTCCTGCTGGAAGGTGAACCTCAGTCCCAGTCTCAAAACTCTGGAACACTGAAACAGGTTTCCCTCAAGAATTTCACTATATTTAGTGCCATCCATCATTCCTTCAATTCTGACCAGTTTCCCAGTCCTTGCCGATAAATAACATCTCCACAGCATGATGCTGCCACCACCATGCTTCACTGTGGGGATGGTGTTCTCTGGGTGATGAGAGGTGTTGGGTTTGCGCCAGACATAGCGTTTTCCTTGATGGCCAAAAGCTCAATTATAGTCTCATTTGACCAGAGCACCTTCTTCCATATGTTTGGGGAATCTCCCACATGGCTTTTGGCGAACACCAAAGGTGTTTGCTTATTTTTTTCTTTAAGCAATGGCTTTTTTTTCTGGCCACTCTTCTGTAAAGCCCAGCTCTGTGGAGTGTACAGCTTAAAGTGGTCCTATGGACAGATACTCCAATTTCCGCTGTGGAGCTTTGCAGCTCCTTCAGGGTTATCTTTGGTGTCTTTGTTGCCTCTCTGATTAATGCTGGCCTTGCTTGGTCCGTGAGTTTTGGTGGGAGGCCCTCTCTTGGCAGGTTTGTTGTGGTGCCATATTCTTTCAATTTTTTAATAATGGATTTAATGGTGCTCCGTGGGATGTTCAAAGTTTGGGATATTTTTTTATAACCCAACCCTGATCTGTACTTCTCCACAACTTTGTCCCTGACCTGTTTGGAGAGCTCCTTGGTCTTCATGGTGCCGCTTGCTTGGTGGTGCCTCTTGCTTAGTGGTGTTGCAGACTCTGGGGCCTTTCAGAACATGTGTATATATACTGAGATCATGTGACACTTAGATTGCATACAGGTGGACTTTATTTAACTAATTATGTGACTTCTGTATGTAATTGGTTGCACCAGATCTTATATAGGGCCTTCATAGCGAAGGGGGTGAATACATACGCACGCACCACTTTTCCGTTACTTATTTTTTAGAATTTTTTTAAACAAGTTATTTTTTTCATTTCACTTCACCAATTTGGACTGTTTTGTGTATGTCCATTACATGACATCCAAATAAAAATCAATTTAAATTACAGGTTGTAATGCAACAAAATAGGAAAAACGCCAAGGGGGATGAATACTTTTGCAAGGCACTGTATCTTTGCTTGAGCTTGAGTAGATGTTGGGTAAAATGTTGAGTGAAGCTAGTCTTTCGACTCTGAAAGATGAAGGTTTTTTGCAACTGATGCATAGCTAGTTTTACAGATGAACATTTAATGGGGGACCTATTCAAGAAGAGGACGTTTGGCATATGGAATGTTGACGCGCATACTCTGTAGACCTGTGCCATAAATTGGAGCAGGAAAGGACATTACAGCAGGTAACGGCAAGACGGCAGAGCTATAATATATAACATTATGTACAGTGATGCTCTATATCACCAGATACATTTACCGTCAGAAAAACTACTAAATCAGGTGGATACCTCATCTAACGCACATAGTCTACCTTCTATCGTATGTACACGGTTATTATTTATTTCAATTCATCACATTCCAGGGGAGGCCCTGTACATACCAATCCATTCCTCATAGGAAATATAGACAGTACTTGATTTGGTATATGAATCAAAACAACACATACCAAGAGAGGCCTGCACATTCCACATACAAATCCCATCGTGATATGAATTATAGACAGTAGTTGTACTATATTAATCAAATCACATGCAGCAAAGTTTCCCGGCTGCAGTAGAACTAACATGTTCTTGGGATTACCACAGCCTTTGTAATATCAAGGTGGTGACACCTTGGCTGTCTAAACGGACACGTCTGTTGTGTGTTATGAAAGGTGCACGTGTTATTAATCAGATTACGTGTCTTCCTCCGAAGCCACAAACATGTCAGGAGAGTGCGTTACTTTCCTTCTTTTTCATCCACTTGGAATGTGTTGTCTGTTTAAGCCACTGCATGTATGGTAATTGGAAGCACATTGACAATCCCTCGAACGTGTAGAGCTGCCAATGAGCCGTTTCATGGCAACTTCAGCAATTTGTTTTATTTCAAATAAATAGTTGAAAGGGTATGTTTCTGTTTTGCGTAGATAATCAACGCAAAACTTTAATTAAGCCAACATCTGTTTGCATTGTTGCATTTGAAACTAATGCTTTTGTGAATTCAAAGCAGTTTTTTTTTTCTGAAGTGCTCTAACCACTAACTGTAATTTGTTATCAGGTCGACTAAGCTCATGGATGCTTACTGTGAGCTGCACACCAATAGTGGAATGTCCCAGATATGTTTTCGGAGGTTCAGAGGTTCTGACCTCAAAGAGGCCTGACTAATTTTGTTATTGCCAGGATTTCCATAATAAAAGCGCCCGCCCATCCCCCTTACTCATCACCCCAACACCCTCTGATGACAGAATGTTGTACCAGGGTCATACATCAGACAGGACCTCCATTTGAAGACAGGATGATCTTAGACCTGGGGAGAAGAAGGGGGGCATGAAGCCCGTGATATGGGGGAGGTGAAGGAGGCTTCATGCCTCCCAACCTGAGTCCCAGGTCTCCCTGACCGTCTGTGTCTGATAAACCCCTGACCGTGCCACTCATCTCACTCCCTCACCCCGTCACCCCCCGACAAAGGGGGCTCAATCAATCGCAGAAAGGGGGTAACCTTAGCTGTTACATCCGTCCACTTTCTCAGTTGTGGCTCGGTGCAAAGGTGAGGGGGTGCTCCTCGGAGCATGGATTGGAGGCATGGAGCGGAACATGGGTCCGGGTCCTCCTGTCCCTCATAGTGGACTCGTAGTCAGTCAGCCTGAGGCTGAACCCCTGAACCCCTACCTGCTGGGGCTGATATTGGGGTGATATTGGGGGTGAGGCCCTGGTCGTCCGTGGAGTTGCTTGCCATGACTGGACCACTTAAATCAAACTGCCAGAGCAGAGGGGGAGACGGAGGGGAGATGGAGATAGAGACTGTGGGGGAGACGGAGGTTGAGATGGAGGGGGAGAGTCATAAATCACTACCAGAGAAGGGTAAGACCTGCTTTTTCACTTCCAGGAGGAAACAAACGGTCTAGTTCCCCTGTCTGTCTGTTAGTTCACCTCTCGCAGGGCTCTTGTATGGTTGGCATTTCCTCAGGATAGAGTTATAGAAAAAGGGTATATTACTGAACCAGAGGCCCGTTTTTTAACAGTGGGTTTGCCCTTACGGATGCCTTTTCAACCGCACTAACTGTCTGAATGCACTGTAACACTTTAGTTATACAGTTGTACTGCACGTCGAATGAAGCCTTAGACCGGCATGCACTCACAGTACAGTGGCTAGTTACACAAGTGTGCGTTGAACGCAGCCTTATCAAACTGTTTAGGAATGTTCCGTGCTGGGGGTACTAGAGTTTGTTAGCATTTTTGCACCTAAACACATGAAGCTTCAAGTGTGAGTTCCAGGAGCTACAGTGGAAGCCATAGCTCTAAAACAGTACTTACCCTCGTGTGTAACATACCGGAAAGTAAATGCAATAATTCATTTTATACACGTCTTTTCTTTACCGTAAACCTCCCACCTGCTCCATTCGTATTCTCCACCCTCTTGAAAGGATTACAACAACGATCCCCCCATAGAGGCACTAAAGTGCTATTTGTTGGCTCTCTCTTAAGAGGCTGAATGGAGTTAGTGTGGTTCTCTTTTTATTGCATTTTCATTAGTGGTGATATACTCAGTCTGGCAGGAACTACTGACTAGAGTATACAGGTATATGTAATATCTCTGGTTCTCCGGAAATGTAGTATATTGTCTTTGGAGGTTGGTAAATGGAAAGAAGAAACTGCAGTGTATACAAAGAATCTGATAGTTGAACTAAATACTAATTCACTTCAATCCATTTTAACTGGATTTATAGCCATTTTATTTTTGTATCAAAACACTTGCAGTTCTACTGCTGTTACATTCATGTGGGTCAGATGTTGCATAGCAACAATCATTTTCCATATAAAGTTAATATAAAGTTGACCTGTATTAAATGCACTCCACTGCATCTTCGATAGTACAAACATGTCCCATTTCAGTCCACAACTCCACCATGCTGAGAGCTAACCCTTTTCTTTCACAGCAGTTAAAGCATCCAGAATCAAGTTCATCTTGGTATGCGACTGTGCTTTCACTGGCCAGCGGTTGTACTGTAGCACGAGTCGTGCGTTTGTCTCAGAGCAAAAAGACAGATGGCTGGAGCTGACACTGGCTCTGATAAAGTCAGTGTGGGTCGATTGCCAGTATGTGATTTCAACTGTATTCTCAGCATTGGTCTAGCCTAATGTGTAACGGTCGGAGAAAAAACAAAGCACTGTGCTCCGAAATGGATGATTTCAGACATGTCAAAAACAAAATAGATCCATATTGGTCTGGCAAGTGTCAGATGTGCTTGTGAAACACACTGTCCACGATGGTCAATCATTTGGCTGATGTGTTTTGTCAATGGGAAGCCAATGGAAAGTGTGTGAGTAGTATATTATTGTGGAGGCTGTGAACTCTGAGGGAGGGAGGGAGGGAGGGAGGGAGGGAGGGAGGGAGGGAGCGAGGGAGGGAGGGAGGGAGAGAGGGAGGGAGGGAGGGAGAGAGGGAGGGAGGGAGAGAGACAGAGAGAGAGAGAGGGAGGGAGAGAGACAGAGAGAGAGAGAGAGAGAGAGGGAGGGAGAGATAGAGAGAGAGGGAGGGAGAGGGAGAGAGAGAGAGGGCTCTGTTCACAAACACAAACAGACCCCACACAGCCCCAGGACAACAACAACAACACAATTAGACCCAACCAAATCATGAGAAAACAAAAAGAGAATTACTTGACACATTGGAAAGAACAAACAAAAAAACAGAGCAAACTAGAATGCTATTTGGCCCTAAACAGAGAGTACACAGTGGCAGAATACCTGACCACTGTGACTGACCCAAACTTAAGGAAAGCTTTGACTATGTACAGACTCAGTGAGCATAGCCTTGCTATTGAGAAAGGCCGCCGTAGGCAGACCTGGCTCTCAAGAGAAGACAGGCTATGTCCACACTGCCCACAAAATGAGGTGGAAACTGAGCTGCACTTCCTAACCTCCTGCCAAATGTATGACCATATTAGAGACACATATTTCCCTCAGATTACAGCGATCCACAAAGAATTCGAAAACAAACCCAATTTTGATAAACTCCCTTATCTACTGGGTGAAAAACCACAGTGTGCCATCACAGCTGCAAGATTTGTGACCTGTTGCCACAAGAAAAGGGCAACCAGTGAAGAACAAACACCATTCTAAGTACAACCCATATTTATGTTTATTTATTTTCCCATTTGTACTTTAACTATTTGCACATTGTTACAACACTGTATATATACATAATATGACATTTGAAATGTCTTTATTCTTTTGAAACTTCTGAGTGTAATGTTTACTTTTAATATTTATTGTTTATTTCACTTTTGTTTACTATCTACTTCACTTGCTTTGGCAATGTTAACACACGTTTCCCATGCCAATAAAGCCCTTAAATTGAAATTGAATTGAAATTGAGAGAGAGAGGTGACGTACGTGCCAGCCTCACCATGTGCTTCGAGTTAGAGCGGCAAAGTGTCTCAGACTTTTATTATTTTCACTTTCCTCCCCCTAAATGATCATCCTCATTGACAGATCCATTTACATTTACATTTACGTCATTTAGCAGACGCTCTTATCCAGAGCGACTTACAAATAGGTGCATTCACCCTATAGCCAGTGGGATAATCTTTTTTTTTTGTTTAGGGGGGGGGGGGGGGGGGGGGGGTAGAAGGATTACTTTATCCTATCCCAGGTATTCCTTAAAGAGGTGGGGTTTCAAATGTCTCCGGAAGGTGGTGAGTGACTCAGCTGTCCTGGCGTCGTGAGGGAGCTTGTTCCACCATTGGGGTGCCAGAGCAGCGAACAGTTTTGACTGGGCTGAGCGGGAACTATGCTTCCGCAGAGGAAGGGGAGCCAGCAGGCCAGAGGTGGATGAACGCAATGCCCTCGTTTGGATGTAGGGACTGATCAGAGCCTGAAGGTACAGAGGTGCCGATCCCCTCACTGCTCCATAGGCAAGCACCATGGTCTTGTAACAGATGCGAGCTTCAACTGGAAGCCAGTGGAGTGTGCGGAGGAGCGGGGGTGACGTGAGAGAACTTGGGAAGGTTGAACACCAGACGGGCTGCGGCATTCTGGATGAGTTGTAGGGGTTTAATGGCACAGGCAGGGAGCCCAGCCAACAGCGAGTTGCAGTAATCCAGACGGGAGATGACAAGTGCCTGGATTAGGACCTGTGCCGCTTCCTGTGTAAGGCAGGGTCGTACTCTCCGAATGTTGTAGAGCATGAACCTGCAGGATCGGGTCACCGCCTTGATGTTAGCGGAGAACGACAGGGTGTTGTCCAGGGTCACGCCAAGGCTCTTCGCACTCTGGGAGGAGGACACAATGGAGTTGTCAACCGTGATGGCGAGATCATGGAACGGGCAGTCCTTCCCCGGGAGGAAGAGCAGCTCCGTCTTGCCAAGGTTCAGCTTGAGGTGGTGATCCGTCATCCATACTGATATGTCTGCCAGACATGCAGAGATGCGATTCGCCACCTGGTTATCAGAAGGGGGAAAGGAGAAGATTAGTTGTGTATCGTCAGCGTAGCAATGATAGGAGAGGCCATGTGAGGATATGACAGAGCCAAGTGACTTGGTGTATAGGGAGAATAGGAGAGGGCCTAGAACTGAGCCCTGGGGGACACCAGTGGTGAGAGCACGTGGTGCGGAGACAGCTTCTCGCCACGCCACTTGGTAGGAGCGACCGGTCAGGTAGGACGCGATCCAGGAGTGAGCCGCGCCGGAGATGCCCAGCTCGGAGAGGGTGGAGAGGAGGATCTGATGGTTCACAGTATCAAAGGCAGCAGACAGGTCTAGAAGGACAAGAGCAGAGGAGAGAGAGTTAGCTTTAGCAGTGCGGAGAGCCTCCGTGACACAGAGAAGAGCAGTCTCAGTTGAATGACCAGTCCTGAAACCTGACTGGTTTGGATCAAGAAGGTCATTCTGAGAGAGATAGCAAGAGAGTTGGCTAAAGACGGCACGCTCAATAGTTTTGGAAAGAAAAGAAAGAAGGGATACTGGTCTGTAGTTGTTGACATCAGTGGGATCGAGTGTTGGTTTTTTGAGAAGGGGTGCAACTCTCGCTCTCTTGAAGACGGAAGGGACATAGCCAGCGGTCAAGGATGAGTTGATCAGCGAGGTGAGGTAGGGGAGAAGGTCACCGGAGATGGTCTGGAGAAGAGAGGAGGGGATGGGGTCAAGCGGGCAGGTTGTTGGGCGGCCTGCAGTCACAAGTCGCAAGATTTTATCTGGAGAGAGAGGGGAGAAAGAAGTCAAAGCATAGGGTAGGGCAGTGTGAGCAGGACCAGCAGTGTCATTAGACTTAACAAACGAGGATCGGATGTCGTCAACCTTCTTTTCAAAGTGGTTGATGAAGTCATCCACAGAGAGAGAGAGGAGGGGGGGGGGGGGGGGGGGGGGGGATTCAGCAGGGAGGAGAATGTGGCAAAGAGCTTCCTAGGGTTAGAGGCAGATGCTTGGAATTTAGAGTGGTAGAAAGTGGCCTTAGCAGCAGAAACAGATTAAGAAAATGTAGAGAGGAGGGAGTGAAAAGATCCAGTGGCGATAGAAGTGCCACATTCTAAAGTATTACTTCTGACCAGGAACTATGCAGTGTTTCATAATCAAAATGTTCACTACTAGGACGTGTAATGTGGAACGGAAGGAAGCTCTACAGTTCTAAGTTCATTGCTGTCCATTGATGTCTTCCCATGACTCCTCTCTCTTTGATGGTTGTTTGTCTAAACTCAGCCAATCAGCATCCCTCTTATCTTTAAGGGGACAGAAATGTTTCATGTCATCAGAGCCAATTGGCTTATTCACTCTCACGCTAGGATTAGATGTGCTGCTAACCCAACTTTGATGTGCTGGGTGGGTGTTGACAAAATAACCCTTAAAATAGCCCTATCAGTCCAGCCCTGTCACATTTCATCCAACAACCAAAACAACATCAAATGCTACATAGCTTAGTGTAGCTTGGGCCAGGTAAATGAATGTCGATGAAGTGAGGAATTTCCTCTCCAGCTACTGGCACCCAAATGGCACTCTATTCCCTATATAGGGCACTACTATTGACCAGGGCCCATATGGCTCTGGTCAACAGCCTTTGTCTGTCGGTTTCCCCCTCTTCTAATGCTAATAACTGCTTTCCCTTTACAGATGTCTGGTTGCCAATAAAACCTGCCCAAAGAACCACAGCTGGAGCAACCGCTTGTGCAGATGTATGGCGGTGCAACGCGACACCCCTCCCCCGCCCCAGACACAACACTCGGGTGAGTAGGACCTAGTACTGATGCTGATACTGCACCTGTTGCACCGCTTATTGGACTGAATTACCGCTTATTAGACTGAATTACCGCTTATTAGACTGAATTACAGCTTATTAGACTGAATTACTGCTTATTAGACTGAATTAGCTACCGCTTATTAGACTGAATTAGTTACCGCTTATTAGACTGAATTAGCTACCGCTTATTAGACTGAATTACCACTTATTAGACTGAATTACCGCTTATTAGGCTGAATTACTGCTTATTAGACTGAATTACCGCTTATTAGACTGAATTACCGCTTATTAGACTGAATTAGCTACCGCTTATTAGACTGAATTAGCTACCGCTTATTAGACTGAATTAGCTACCGCTTATTAGACTGAATTAGCTACCGCTAATTAGACTGAATTAGCTACCGCTTATTAGACTGAATTACCGCTTATTAGACTGAATTACCGCTTATTAGGCTGAATTACCGTTTATTAGACTGAATTACCGCTTATTAGACTGAATTACCGCTTATTAGACTGAATTACTGCTTATTAGACTGAATTACCGCTTATTAGACTGAATTAGATACTGCTTATTAGACTGAATTACCGCTTAATGTGGTGAATTATGTTTCTCTTTGAGTTCAATATTACTAAGATAGGCTTATGCTGTTCTGAAGGTTTCCTAGTTGTGGTATGTGGTATGGATTGAAGGTGGAGTCAAGAGAAGGTGTTGTGCACGATTAATGGTCTTTTATTGGCCTCTTACAAGACTGTGACAGAGTGAAGCAACATGCTACAGTATAATAAAGAAAGAAAACGGACACGGAGAAGGACAATGTGCTCTTGGTTTTTTACAACAGCCCTCAAAATCCTCACAGAGACACAGACCAGCACTTGAGTCTCTTCAACAACTCACCAACAAGAGAACAACTCATTCCGCTCAATTCAATGTGACGCGAGAATGTACGCGTGATCCCCATACACTATTTACAAACCGAGTCCACAGATGTTGAAAGCTCCCAGGCCACGTCTCAGTGAGTTGCCACTATGAAAACACAACATGGCAGTTGTTTTTCAGCGGACGTGGCTACGCAGTAGAGTGATCTCTGAGTGAACAAACAAGAGACAGAAGAATGCAGAAAGAATCCCAGAGCTCTGGATTCCATAGTATCGTCCCAAATTCGACCCTATTCCCTTTATAGTGCACTACTTTTGACCAGGACCCATAGTGAACTATGTAGGGAATAGGGTGCATTTTGGGATGCAGCCCATGGCTCACGCCACTCTACCCCTGCCACACAATGTTTATGAAGCACTGAAAGCAGGAAGCCAATCAAACAATTCTGTTGTTGCATGAAAGTTAATCTCTCTTAACAGACTTGGCTTCAGAGTTTACTCACTCGTACTCCTGAGTGGCGCAGTGGTCTAAGGCACTGCATCACAGTGCTAACTGTGCCACTAGAGATCCTGGTTCGAATCCAGGCTCTGTCGCAGCCGGCCGCGACCGGGTGACTCATGGGCGGCACACAATTGGCCCAGCGTCGTCCAGGGTAGGGGAGGGAATGGCCGGCAGGGATGTAGCTCAGTTGATAGAGCATGGTGTTTGCAACGCCAGGGTTGTGGGTTCGATTCCCACGGGGGGCCAGTATATATAAAAAAAATGGTATTCACTAACTGTAAGTCGCTCTGGATAAGAGCGTCTGCTAAATGACTAAAATGTATATTAAAAAGGGTCTGGGTAAATTGGGGAGATCAAGCCATCAACATTTGGTTTAATGGGGATCACCCCTTTTCATCAGCTGATAAATGTTTGATCAAAGCATTGCTGATGTTTCTCATGCAGTTGCCAAATTAAAGATGATGTTGATCATCTGTAGGCTTATTGTCCAGTCATACAATGGCATTTACTGGCTGACAATTAATTGAATTGCTCATTGATTATCATTCAACCCCAATGCCATGTTCTACAATTTGATGGAACCCAAAGAAACATTTAGCTAGGCCTATATCTTCCACATTACAGACGAATAATTCTACGAGAGGACTTGATAGCAAGAGCCATACGAGAGCTGCAGAGCTGATTTATGTTTCCTCTTCACACTAACCAGCTTTGACAGGCCCAATCAGAGGTAGATCTAGAAGCTTAGAGGTGCGTGCTCTGCTCTACTCTGCTCACAGGGACAGTGTGTCCCAAATGGTGCATTAGAGGTGCATGTGTATCCCATGTGTATCCCAAATGGCTCCCTATCCCCTAGATTGTGCACTACTTTTGACCAGAGCCCTATGGGCCCTGGTGAAAATAAGCACACTAAAGGGAATATAGGGAGCCATTTGGGACGCACCCATGGAATAGAATGTCTCCGCTATGCAGTCAGAGGCTCCCCAGGTCAGTATGAAACACTAGCTGAAGTCTTCAGAGGAACAGACACCAAAACCCTAGATCTGGACAGTTATAGTGCCTGTGTAATATACAGTTGGTGTCATTACTCCTATAGGGGATTAGGATTTTGATTTAGGGAGACAGATATGTCATTGTGCCTTGGTTATAGTCCGTCTGGATTGAACCATCATCTAGAGTGCGGTATCATTCACAGAGGGAGGTGAGGTAGCTAGATCTGGGTTTCGTTTTTCTTTGGTTTGACTGCATCAGGGTTGTCACTAATAACTAATAGAGGGCTCACTCTCCTATTTCTCTGCGATCACCACATCTTGCATAAAGAGAGTAAGAGAGAGAGTGAGAGAAAGAGCGAGAGAGAGATGGAGAGACGAAGGCATACAGTGAGAGTGACAGAGAGATGGAGAAAGCGAGAGAGGGGAGAGATCGGAGAGAGAGAGTGAAAAAGAGAAAATTAGAGAGAGAGGGAGAGAAAGAAAGAGAAAGAGTGAGAGTGTGTGTAGAGGGAATGAACGTTTGTTTTTTGTCTCCAGGTTTGTGGTGATCTCATAAGTCACATAAGTAATGGTAGTTATGGGTGACTCCCTCTGCTAATCAACCAGAGTTTGGCTGGCAGCTACGTCCTCACTCCCTCCTGTCTCTCTCCCTTCAGATAAGCAGAACATTGGCTTATAAGGATCTCTACACAAGACAGAGGAGCTGAAGATCAGTGAGAGACCTTTCTGGCTCCATTAACTACAGTACACTACCTCCCCTGACGATGACCAAAATCAGAGAGACACCGTCGACACATCGTTAATTATGGCGACGTCAGCGGGCACAGTGTCAAACTTCTGTGTAAAACTGTAAAAAACTTTGACTTGGTTGCCACTGAAAATGTGGTGATTTTTTTCAGCTTGCGAAGTTGTTGGAAAAGCCTAACTTGATTTATGATTTACTGTAAATTCGACTCAATAATTGACAAATGACATTGATTCATGGCAAACCACAGTGCAACATTATGCATATTCAAGCATATCCCATAAGGAATACTTGACCAATTATCGGATGTGTTATTGAATAAAATCAATCACTAAAGACTCATGAATTATGAAAAGTGGACATTTATTTTTCTCTTCATCTGAAGCACCACAACAGCAAACAATACAAGCAAACAGTTCATTAATGAGTTAGGGTTAGGAAACCTCTCTGTGGTTAACATCTCTGTGCGTTGCCATCGCAATCTGGGTCTGTTCATCAGCAAACACATAAACACAGTAACGACAGGAATTTAGTTCCTGACTGCAGCCAAATCTCTCTCTCTCTCTCTCTCTCTCTCTCTCTCTCTCTCTCTCTCTCTCTCTCTCTCTCTCACACACACTTTCTCTCTCTCTCTCTCTCTCTCTCTCTCTCTCTCTCTCTCTCTCTCTCTCTCTCTCTCTCTCTCTCTCTGGAAGATATCACATTTGTTTATTCGCCTGTGTTGTAAGGAAAACATCTGTTTGCTCCACTGGGGGGAAAATATATTGTGAGGGATTTAGGGCAGGAATGCTCAATCTTTTCAATCTATCTCCAATAGTTTGCTGCTGTGATGTCAAACAACAACTCTAGCTAACTTCCAATTCTGCAGGATATTGCTATGTTCTTCTTATGTACAGATATAGGATCTTCATTTGACCAGTTTCTCACAGCAGGAAAGGTTAGGGCAAATCAAGTCTGACATTTTGAAGTGGGAATTAAACTTTAGAAGCAAATTTGCATTTCCTTCTGTGCAGGAAATTTCCTGCAACAACAGGGTGATCAAATTAAGATCCTACATCTGTAAGCTCTTCAGAAAAGTCCAAGTGTTCCATACCATCCGATCCAGGGGGTTACAACATCAACGTCTCCACACGGACGACTAGCCGAAAATAGAACATTTCACAATCTGTTAACAAGTGCTGACAACTCACAAACGATAGCAACCAGGGATATAAAACACATCTGTCTTTAGAACACCTGCATATCATCACTGGCGCCGGAGGGGAGGAGATGGCTGCCATTTTACGGCCCCCTGACCAATTGTGCTATTATGTGTGTTTTTTCGCGTTATTTGTTATTTATTCTGTACATAATGTTTCTGCCACCGTCTCTTATGACCAAAAATAGCTTCTGGATATCAGAACAGCGATTACTCCCCTCGTATTGGAAGAGTATTTTATCTTCAACGAGTCGGACGTGAAGGATATTCAACAGACACCCGACAAGGCCCAAATCCCCGTCATTTGCATGAGAAAGAGACAGAGATATTGTGGATGTAGGTCGGGGTGCCTTGTAAGGATCCAACGGCGAGCGAGTAATCTGCCTCTTCCATCAGTCCTATTAGCCAACGTACAATCATTGGAAAACAAAATGGACGACCTAAGATCAAGGATATCCTACCAACGGGACATTAAAAACTGTAATATCTTATGTTTCACCGAGTCGTGGCTGAACGACGACATTGATAACATACAGCTGGCGGGATATACGCTACATCGACATGATAGAATGGCTGACTCCGGTAAGACAAGGGGTGGCTGTCTGTGTATATTTGTAAACAACAGCTGGTGCACGAAATCTAATATTAAGGAAGTCTCCAGGTTTTGCTGTAGACCACACTATTTACCAAGAGAGTTTTCTTCAATATTTTTCGTAACTGTCTATTTACCACCACAAACCGATGCTGGCACTAAGACTGCACTCAATGAGCTGTATAAGGACATAAGCAAACAGGAAAACGCTCATCCAGAGGCAGCGCACCTAGTGGCCGGGGACTTTAATGCAGGGAAACTTAAATCCGTTCAACCTCATTTCTACCAGCATGTTAAATGTGTTACCAGAGGGAAAAAAAACTCTAGACCACCTTTACTCCACACACAGAGACGCATACAAAGCTCTCCCTCGCCCTCCATTTGGCAAATCTGACCATAATTATATCCTCCTGATTCCTGCTTATAAGCAAAAACTAAAGCAGGAAGCACCAGTGACTCGGTTAATAAGGAAGTGGTCAGATGACGCAGATGCTAAGCTACAGGACTGTTTTGCTAGCACAGACTGGAATATGTTCCGGGATTCTTCCGATGGCATTGAGGAGTACACCACATAAGTCACTGGCTTCATCAATAAGCGCATCGAAGACGTCATCCCCACAGTGACCGTACGTACATACCCCAAATAGAAGCCATGGATTACAGGCAACATCAGCACTGAGCTAAAGGGTAGAGCTGCCACTTTCAAGGAGCGGGACTCTAACCCGGACGCTTATAAGAAATCGCGCTATGCCGTCCGAACTATCAAATAGGCAAAGCGTCAATACAGGACTATGATTGAATCGTACTACACCGCCTCCGACGCTCGTCAGATGTGGTAGGGCTTGCAAACTATTACAGACTACAAAGGGAAGCACAACCATGCTCGCTTCCAGGCAAGCCACACTGAAGCATGCATGAGAGCATCAGCTATCCCGGATGACTATGTGATCGCGCTCTCCTTAGCCAATGTTAGTAAAACTTTTAAGCAGGTCAACATTCACAAGGCCAGACAGATTACCAGGACGTGTACTCCGAGCATGCGCTGACCAACTGGCAAGTGTCTTCACTGACATTTTCAACATGTCCCTGACTGAGTCTGTAATACCAACATGTTTCAAGCAGACCACCATAGTCCCTGTGAACAAGAACACTAAGATAACCTGCCTAAATGATTACCGACCCGTGGCACTCACATCTGTAGCCATGAAGTGCTTTGAAAGGCTGGTCATGGTCACATCAACACCATTATCCCAGAAACCCTAGACCCACTCCAATTTGCATGCCGCCCCAACAGATCACAGATAATGCAATCTCTATTGCACGCCACACTGCCCTTTCCCACCTACACAAGAGGAACACATTTACATTTTAGTCATTTAGCAGACACTCTTATTCAGAGCGACTTACATTTTTTCATACTGGCCCGCCATGGGAATTGAACCCACAACCCTGTCGTTGCAAGCACCATGCTCTACCAACTGAGCTACAGAGGAGGCCACCTATGTGAGAATGCTATTCATTGACTACAGCTCAGCGTTCAACACCATAGTGCCCTCAAAGCTCATCACTAAGCTAAGGACCCTGGGACTAAACACCTCCCTCTGCAACTGGATCCTGGACTTCCTGACGGGCCACCCCCAGGTGGTAAGGGTAGGTAACAACACATCTGCCACGCCGTTCCTCAACACGGGGGCCCCTCAGGGGTGCGTGCTCAGTCCCCTCCTGTACTCCCTGTTCACCCATGACTGCATGGCCAGGCACGACTCCAACTCCATCATTACGTTTGCCGACGACCCAACAATGGTAGGCCTGATCACTGACAATGATGTGCCAGGATAACAACCTCTCCCGCAACGTGATCAAGACAAAGGAGATGATTGTGGACTACAGGAAAAAAAAGAGGACTGAGCACGCCCCCATTCTCATCGACGGGGCTGTAGTGGAACACGTTGAGAGCTTCAAGTTCCTTGGTGTCCACACCTCCAACAAACTATCATGGTCCAAACACACCAAGACAGTTGTGAAGAGGACACGACAAAGCCTATTCCCCCTCAGGAGACTGAAAAGATTTGGCATGGGTCCTCAGATCCTCAAATAGTTCTACAGCTGGCACCCTGACTGGTTGCATCACCGCCTGGTATGGCAACTGCTCGGCCTCCAACCGCAAGGCACTACAGAGGGTAGTGCGTACGGCCCAGTACATCACTGGGGCCAAGCTTCCTGCCATCCAGGACCTCTATACCAGGTGTTGTCAGAGGAAGGCCCTAAAAATTGTCAAAGACTCCAGCCACCCTAGTCATAGACTGTTCTCTCTGCTACCGCACGGCAAGCGGTACCGGAGTGCCAGGTCTACGTCCAAAAGGCTTCTTAACAGCTTCTACCCCCGAGCCATAAGACTCCTGGACAGCTAATCATGGCTACCCGGACTATTTGCATTGTCCACCCCACCCCACCCCCTCTTTTATGCTGCTGCTACTCTCTGTTTATTATCTATGCATAGTCATTTTAACTCTTCCCACATGTACATATTACCTCAATTACCTCGACTAACCTGTTCCCCCGCACATTGACTCTTTACCCGGTACCCCCTGTATATAGCCTCCCTACAATTTTTTACTTAATACTTATTTTTCTTAAAACTGCATTGTTGGTTAAGGGCTTGTAAGTAAGCATTTCACTGTAAGGTCTACACTTGTTGTATTCGGTGCATGTGGCAAATAAAATTGTATTTTATTTTATTTTATTTTATGTGATCAGTTCAGAGCACATCCTGTCTCTTCCTGGGTTGGGGTCAATTCCATTTCAATTCAGTCAATTCAGGAAGCTCCTCCTGAATTGACTGAATTGAAATATAATTGACCTCATCCCTGATCTCTCAATAAGAATATGGTGAACTGACATGGAAATGCTCAATGTGTGTAATGTGTATGTTTTTATACTTTTAATGTCTGTTTTTATCCTTTCAATGCCAAGAGTGCCAAAGCCAATTTTCCATTTTGTGCCAACCTATTGGACAATAAAGTTTTTAATGTACACTGAACAAAAATATAAGCGCAATATGTAAAGTGTTGGTCCCATGTTTCATGAGCTGAAATTAAAGATGCCAGACATTTTCCATATGCACAAAAAGCTTATTTCTCTCACATTTTTTGCACAAATTTGTTTACATCCCTGTTAGTGAGCATTTCTCCTTTGCCAAGACAATCCATCCACCTGACAAGTGTGGCAAATCAACAAGCTATAAAAGGCCACTCTAAAATGTGCAGTTTTGTCACACAACCCAATGCCACAGATGTCTCAAGTTCTGACTGCAGGAATGTCCACTAGAGCTGTTGCCAGAAAATGTAATTTTCATTTATCTACCATAAGCCACCTCCAATGTCGTTTTAGAGAAGTTGGCAGTACGTTCAACCAGCCTCACAACCGCAGACCACGTGTATGGTGTTGTGTGGGCGAGCGGTTTGCTCATGTCAACGTTGTGAACAGAGTGCCCCATGGTGGCTGTGGGGTAATGGTATGGGCAGGTTTAAGCAACGGACAACGAACACAATTGCATTTTATCAATGACAATTTGAATGCGCAGAGATACCGTGACGAGATCCTGAGGCCCATTGTCGCGCCATCCATCCGCCGCCATCACCTCATGTTTCAGCATGAAAATGCACGGCCCCATGTCACAAGGATCTGAAAATGTCCCAGTTCTTCCACGGCCTGCATATTCACCAGACATGTCACCCATTGAACATGTTTGGGATGCTCTGGATCGTGGCCTGTGGAAAACATTCCACAGGCCACAATCAACAGCCTGATCAACTCAATGCGAAGGAGATGTGTCGCGCTGCATGAGGCAAATTATGGTCACACCAGATATTGACTGGTTTTCTGAACCACGCCTCTACCTTTTTTTGAAGGTATCTGTGACCAACAGATGCATATCTGTATTCCCAGTCATGTGAAATCCATAGATTACGGCCTAATGAATATATTTCAATTGACTGAATTCCTTATATGAACAGTAACTCAGTAAAATCTTTGAAATGGTTGCATGTTGCGTTTATATTTTTGTTCAGTATAATTCTTATCTAATCTTCTCCCCTGTATCTCTCTAGACTCGTTTGAAGCGGATATCTGCGGGTCAGATAAGGAGTTGGACGAGGAGACGTGCCAGTGTGTGTGCAGACGACAGCTTCGGGCCTCGGGCACATGTGGACCCCACCGCTACCTTGATAAGAACACGTGCCAGTGTGTGTGTAAGACGCTCCCGTCGTCCTGTGGGCCGCACCAGATTTTCAATAAAGACACGTGCCAGTGCTCCTGCGGCAGGACGTGCCCCAAGCACCAGCCGCTCAACCGCAGCAAGTGTGCCTGCGAGTGCAACGAGTCACCCAACAGGTGCTTCCTAAAAGGCAAAAGGTTCCACCAGGCCACCTGCAGGTAAATACAGCTTGATGATGATGATGATGAGGATGAGAAGGGTTGATGAAAAGAAAGAGGAGGACGACATGGAGAAAGGGAACGAATAGAGGATAGGGACGTCTGATGATGACAATCCAAATTGCTACCGTGACAACCTTTTCAGATCTTTTCAAAGCATATTTCCGTAGCAAACCATACATTAGCATAGTCATTGGTAATTCAAGTAGCCAGTTACTGGAGAAGAGACTAGAGCACAGAGCTCTTGGTCAAAGTAATGCACTAAATAGGAAATAGGGTGCCATTTGGGACACAGAAAATAGGGAATAGGGTGCCATTTGGGACGCAGTAAATAGGGAATAGGGTGCCATTTGGGACACAGTAAATAGGGAATAGGGTGCCATTTGGGACGCAGTAAATAGGGAATAGGGTGCCATTTGGGATGCAGTCTAGGTACAAGTCCTGTTAGATCCATGCCACTAAGCCACAAGGCTGTAATATACAGCTGAGTTTGCCAAATCCTACAATGACATGGCCTGTTTAAGGCTAACCCTTTCCAGCTGGTCTCTATCAGAGCCATGCTAAATGTCCTTGATTTAGAACATCCAGCTTCCAGACTCTGGGTAACGGAGAAAATGTATGCAGCCGCACATCCAGAGCTGTGGAGTGTTCTATCATTAAGAACTCCAACAAAGCTAGAATGACGGGCTCAAATAGAAAGTGAAGAGTTATTATGTCAGCGAACCACTAGAATATATGAATTATATTAACTGATGACTACAATTGAGGATTCAAAAACATGTCTATTTTCACACAAAGAAACTCATATGGACTGCTATACTATATACTGTATCATGTCTGTGACATGACATTGCATGACTGGTAGTCATACATGTTCATTTTCCAGATGCCCTCAGACACGAATTAGACATCAATCATTTTTATTTCAAAGCTTACAACCCCTTTATTTTTAGAAGTCTGCAAGGAGAGAAGTCCTGTGAATACAAATCCGCCCAGAGTTGTAAATGAACTTGCAGTCCTGCAAATTACACTGCGATAAAAACCCTGGAATAAGGGCTGCCCATTTACCAGTGATCTCACTCTTCAGGTGACGTTGCTAGTTCTGCTCCTGTGGTCTTAAACCAGCGCCAGGGTGATAAACTATACCCAGTTTGAGGGCTTGGTGTTAATTGGTTATAGTACAACACATTTCACTGGCAAATAGAAGGTTTCACTGCCTCACTGCTGTCAGTTAACTGCTAGTTCCCCATGTCTGAAGGAACAACCCACAACCCTCTACGGTGACCCCTTGTAACCCCACGTTAATATGATTTATGACTATCCATCTGCAGTAAGGATCCAATGTCAGGAACACGGCCGATAGAATAAAATCAGCTTTCGTTTTGTCCTGTTTTTATTTGATACCAAACTTACTAGAAAATGTTCATTTCCTGAAGCAAATGTGTGCTATTGATTTCGACCCCAACTGAGGGAGTTTTTATCTGACACCTGAGGGACGTCCTTATATTGATGCCATACCATTGACATATACTGAGTAAGAGGTTGTACCTAGTAGGACAACGATGAAAAGAAAGGGTATACCAGAAGGAGGAATAAACCTGTGGTTGTATATATGGTTAAAACTCCTGCACGTTACATGATTTAAAGGGACATTTCAAAAAATGTCAAACTTCATACTCATCATCTCCAGCACCACCTCAACATCAACATATGTGAAAATGGCGCGTTTCTATGTTTTGTAGTAAAAAAGATAGAGGGAGATGCGTTTCCAATGACATCATCAACCAATTAGTAGACAATTAGTAGGTAAATAGTAGGTAATGCTCATAGGTGGTTAAAATCACATAATGCACACCGATGATGTCATTGGAAAAACTTACATTCCTCTCTATTTTTTACTACAAAACACAGAAACACACCATTTTCACATATGTTAATGAACATGTAGTTGAAAATCGTTGAAATGTCCCTTTAACATGAATCCTCTTTGTCTTCCCCTAGTTGCTACAGACCACCTTGTGACGTGCGGAGGAATCGGCGCTGTGCATCAGGTTTTTACTTCAGCGAGGAGGTCTGCCGGTGCGTACCAACATACTGGAGAGGACAGGATTAACTTTGAGTTCACATTATGCAGCTGACCTGCTACCCGATTATAATGATTATAATCTATTATGATAGCCGCCATCTTGTGGAGAAGTACCTAGCCTGGACCTAGTTCGGAAATGGTTGAAAGGACACAGAGTTTGTGGGCTACTTTGGAATTATAAAGTGACATTTGGGACATATTATGGACGTATTGATATGAACCCCAAATATCATGAGAGGATCTAATGAAAAGACTGAAGGATGGGGAGCAATTGAAGGCTAAAGCCTTATTCTTGTTATTTTGTAATTGTTTTGTTATTCGTATGTCAGATATTGATTATATAATTTATTGCCATTAATGTTTGCAACCTCTTTGTTTATTGCAATTACAATCTTTCTAAGAAAATACACTGTGATCAATATTTTTGTATCATGTGATGCCTCTTTAAAATAAAAGTTGTATATTGTTAACTTATTTCTAATCTAGTTTATCATATTCAATTGTAGTTACTGATTGTAAATAACTAATGTACAGTAGTGGTCAAAAGTTTTGAGAATGACACAAAGTCTGCTGCCTCAGTTTTGATGATGGCAATTTGCATATACTCCAGAATGTCATGAAGAGTGATCAGATGAATTGCAATTAATTGCAAAATCCCTCTTTGCCATGAAAATGAACTTCATCCCCCCAAAAAATTCCACTGCATTTCAGCCCTGCCACAAAAGGACCAGCTGCCATCATGTCAGTGATTCTCTCGTTAACACAGGTGAGAGTGTTGATGAGGACAAGGCTGGAGATCACTCTGTCATGCTGATTGAGTTAGAATAACAGACTGGAAGCTTTAAAAGGAGGGTGGTGCTTGAAATCATTGTTCTTCCTCTGTTAACCATGGTTACATGCAAGGAAACATGTGCCGTCATCATTGCTTTGCACAAAAAGGGCTTCACAGGCAAGGATATTGCTGCTAGTAAGATTGCACCTAAATCAACCATTTCTCAGATCATCAAGAACTTCAAGGAGAGAGGTTCAATTGTTGTGAAGAAGGCGTCAGGGTGCCTAAGAAAGTCCAGCTAGCGCCAGGACTATCTCCTAAAGTTGATTCAGCTGCGGGATCGGGGCAACACCAGTGCAGAGCTTGCTCAGGAATGGCTGCAGGCAGGTGTGAGTGCATCTGCACGCACAGTGAGGCGAAGACTTTTGGAGGATGGCCTGGTGTCAAGAAGGGCAGCAAAGAAGCCACTTCTCTCCAGGAAAAACATTAGGGACAGACTGATATTCTGCAAAAGGTACAGGGATTGGACTGCTGAGGACTGGGGTAAAGTCATTTTCTCTGATGAATCCCCTTTCTGATTGTTTGGGGCATCCGGAAAAAAGCTTGTCCAGAGAAGACAAGGTGAGCGCTACCATCAGTCCTGTGTCATGCCAACAGTAAAGCATCCTGAGACCATTCATGTGTGGGGTTGCTTCTCAGCCAAGGGAGTGGGCTCACTCACAATTTTGCCTAAGAACACAGCCATGAATAAAGAATGGTACCAACACATCCTCTGAGAGCAACTTCTCCCAACCATCCAAGAACAGTTTGGTGACGACCAATGCCTTTTCCAGCATGATGGAGCACCTTGCCATAAGGCAAAAGTGATAACTAAGTGGCTCGGGGAACAAAACATCGAGATTTTGGGTCCATGGGCAGGAAACTCCCCAGACCTTAATCCCATTGAGAACTTGTGGTCGATCCTCAAGAGGCGGGTGGACAAACAAAAACCCACAAATTCTGACAAACTCCAAGCATTGATTATGCAAGAATGGGCTGCTATCAGTCAGGATGTGGCCCAGAAGTTAATTGACAGCATGCCAGGGCGAATTGCAGAGGTCTTGAAAAAGAATGGTCAACACTGCAAATATTGACTCTTTGCATAAACTATAAACTAAATGTAATTGTCAATAAAAGCCTTTGACACTTATGGAATGCTTGTAATTATACTTCAGTATACCATAGTAACATCTGACAAAAATATCTCATAACACTGAAGCAGCGAACTTTGTGAAGGCCAATACTTGTGTCTGTCAGGAGTGCTGTATGTGGAAGGTGTCAGGACACAGAAGCTTCGTTAGACAGTCTTTAGTGAATAAATACGAGCAAAAGTGCCCGGAGACGAGCGATACGCACACAGGCGTAAACGAGCAGGAAAAAGACTAACGCGCACAACAAGTGTGAAAACCTCTCATCTCAAACACAAGGAGGGAAAACCAATACAGACACGAAGACAGGAAGCTCAATAACACACAACACATGACTAACAAAACGAGAACTATATAGGACACATAATCAACGCTAACTAACCACAGGTGTACAACAATCAGACAAAAGCAAACGAACATAGAAAACCTACAACGGTGGGTAGCTAGTACTCCGGGGACGACGACCGCCGAAACCTGCCCGAGCAAGGAGAAGGAGCAGCCTCGGCAGATTCCGTGACAGTGTCATTCTCAAAACTTTTGACCACGACTGTACACACTTATCTTACCATTATGATTTTATGGCAGGCTATCTTTACACAACTAAAATGTCATTTCAATTTCTATATGAATTAATGCAAAATAGCATGTGATTTCTGAACTGCCATCCACAACATACACATACATTTACATTAGATACTTGAAAATATACCATATACCACTTTTATCTTTGGTCAACCACCTCACCAGCAATACTAGCATTGGGCTCTCAGTTCTTTGATCATGATGATAGGGCCACAAGTTTTTCCAGGTCTGGCCCATTTTATGACATGATGAGAATATCCTATAAATGAACATCAAGTGCAGGAGACCTCCAAGGAAGGAATACGGTGAACTAATACATGAATCCTGCCTTGTCAATTAATGAATAATACTACTATGGAGAACCCTAATCAGCAAAA